CCCCCTTCCCCCCAACGCCATTGGTGGATGGGAGTTGGGAACGAGAATTGGGCAGCGATATTGCAGCAATATTGCGGTACGGGCAAGGTGTGGTCCGCTCGATGCGCCCTGCTCGGGGCATGGCCTGTGAAAGACGCCACTCCAAGAGCTTAGACCAGTCACAGCGGAGTCATATTTAGAGGAACATGCTGATTTGCGTCATTGATGCAAAGGGCAGGCAAGCAAGGGGGGCGGAGCTTCCCGATTTGCTTCTTTAATGAGTGGTCACAGGTGCTGCGCCACCACCAGACAATTAAGAGAACACAAGTTACTACGGAGTACGGAGTAGGCCATCATGGAAAGACTTTATTGCAGACAGTGCAATGCGGTCACTGTCACAAACTGAACCATGACACGTCTCTCGTGTCTACGATGCAGGCGAGAGCGCCAAACTGCAACCAGCCTATTTCGTGGTGTTGCCCAGAGAAAAGAACAAGAAGCAATGTTACAGTACTCTCGTCCGGTTCGACTACGTACATCATGCAAGATTGAATGTTAAAACTTGGTCTGGGTTCTAAGAAACTCTCGAGCTGTTTTTGCTATATCTGGAATAGCCAAGAATTAGTTATAAAGAGCTGAATACCGCTATGAATTGAATTACTCAAACTCAAGTTTTTGTTAATCCAGCCTGCCCTATCATCTCTATTCGACTTCCTGTCTAGAAGCTTATCATTGTCTCTGAAGAATGCTTGACTCAACTTACTATGATGAAGATCACTCTACAAGGGCCCCCGCACTACACCCTAACCCTAACACTACCAGTTGACCACACCCTCCATGGCTGCGCTTCGAACGGTACCACGAATTGTGCCAACTAGACTGCTGACTGCATGCTCGGCGCGGTGGTAACCCATTTTGTCAGTTTGTCTTACATGTCACGGGCTCAGCCCATGCATTGGACCTATTAGGAAGCCACCCGTAATCGTTTCCGCGCCGGTTCCCATAGGCAAATATAAGTTGCAGGCGATTCTTGATCGCTTTGGGCGCTGATGCGGCACTTTTGATGGCAGCTTAATTAACGCTATTGCTATATCCTTCCGGTCGACAGTGTGTTAAATTCCCCCTTTGGCCTGTCTTGCATCCGGGTAAATATCAGCTGCTGCACCTGAACGTGTTGGTTCAGATTCATCTTGGGAAGCACAACATCACTGTCAATGGACTAGAGCTGGTCCGTGAGGGGTATAACCAATAAGGGGGGCTTCAGAGACATGATACGTCAGATTACAACTAGAGTGCATGTGTTGCAGTCCGTGGTTCCGTTTCCTGATGACAAAGTATCGGTTTTTGCATGGTCGGAACACTATCCCACCTTGTACTACACAGGATTGGTTAGATGTACTGAGCAGTGTATTATTTCTCTTGCTTAATAACTGACTAATAAAAAAAATTACTATATTCTGCTGTCTAGCAGCATGACTACTAGACTAAAATCGGAGCGTAGTAGGGCATTAAGCCTGCCTAGGAATTCACTTTGCGTTTGACATACTGGTGCGCGCCGTTGGGTGGGCGGGACCCATGACAGCACTCGAGGCCAGGGACACCAGACCACAGCGTAGATACATGTACGGGCGTCAATCGTGCGCGCGTGTGGGGTGGGCCTGGCTAGTTCAATCAAATTGATATTTGACCAACTTACAGGCAATTGACAATCCCGCAGGTCACATTAAGCGTTAAAAGCTGCGAAGGCTCAGTGAAACACTTGACCCAATATATCTCCAGTCACCTCAAGCTGCTTACCGGTGCTACACTGGCGACTTAATTCAGGTACTGTAGCCACCCACCTTGCAGGAGTCTTCAAGCCTTATTGGTTCGGCCATTGGCCGCATGTTACGGCAACACAGGCTTCTTCCGTTGTCGATCTGTCTGGCTGTAGCGACATCTGAATACAGCCTGGCTTACTGAGACACGATGCATGGGCTGTCAATTGTTGTCGAATGTAACCCAAATAAATGCATCAATTGATGTTAATTGTGTAGAGGACAGGCCGACTCTTTCTCGGCTCGCTGATTGATTGCCCCTCAGGTGTTGCCGTCTGGGTGTGGGTAGAGCATCTATCCCGTTCAGGTAACTGCTGACGAGTTCCAAACTATTATAAAGTAACCCATCAAGTCCGCCCCCAATTCGCAGTAAATTCTCCTCCCTCTATCCAGTATCACATTCTAAAGTAGCATTTTGTCCAAAATCAGCGTACAACTACGAAAATAACCATGTTGACATTCAATATAAAACTTGCGACTGTCCTGGCTGGAGTCAGCACAGCAATGGCAGCTCCGGCATTAGCAGACTCGAGCACCATGTTGGCCGTCATGGGACAAGGTGCTCTCGATGAGCAAAGCTACTCTGTCTTTACCAACTGCGTGCAAGCTCTGACCTCCTCCTACAAAGCATACACAGATGAGGGTGTACTGGTAGTCGTCCCATCCACCAGCCGTGCGATTGACATCAATACCACGGACAAGGAGATATGGAACTGCATCAAATCCTCCTCAAGCACCGTCTCTCTCGCGATTGAGTCAAGCGAGTTCCCTGACCAGGCCCACGAAGCAACCACTGATGTCACGTCCATTCAGCACACGGATGCCGTGAACATGGGCGTCACGGGGCAGAAAGTGGTTGATTATGTTCCTGCCAAAACGAACGCATTGGAGACGCGAGACGTTGCTTACTATGACGTCCATCATTCCGACGAAAAGACCTGCAAGGGTGACTTCAACCACTACTACCTTAACAGGTGTACCAGCTTCGCGAGTGCTTATGACTCCACGTTGGCGGGCAACTTGGACGCGGCCAAGCACTTGAGGTATACTATTTGGCCGCACCACAATTGCGAAAAAGGAAACCAGAGAACTATTAATATCAACCCGCGTTCGTCTTCCCCTTGCCAGGTTAGGACTACCTATTCATGGAACGGAGCCTATGCTTAGCTGTCTTGTCAACGTAACTCGAGGTAGCAGCTTATACAGTCGCAGGAGGAGTGGTCGAATCTGGAATTTGTCTTGCGGATAAATAGTAAAGAGTCGGCGGTTATTGGACTATACAGAATTATATATGCATGTAAGCACAAGCATAAGTATAGTATAGTAGATAATAGGCAGCGGAATATACAATAGGAGAGGTCATAAAATTTCGCTGATCAGTTCTAGTCTTGAGGCCTTTTATTTCTGATTCTCTTATAATAACGACAATTTTGCTAGTAGATTTACTAGCGGATGCAATGTCTTATATCGCCTTAGCCGTACTGTCTTACTGTGTTGCTGTGTATGCAAGTATAAAATTCTATAACAAGGCGTCTGGAGGGACGGTTAGGAGTAGGCCTAGCTAAAAAGCGGGGTAGGTACTCCGTATTAGTAGTACAGGGTCTGGTAGCACAAGTAGCACAACCCCACCGGCCGCCCTTTCACTTCGTGCCACTATTATTGGGGCTGGGTGGTTACATTCTAGTCACATACAAACAAAAGTTCAACTCTTACTTCCAGCTTCGACTTGCATCTACCACACGCTGTATACCTCACTGAAGAAAGCGCTAGGAAATACCATCACCATGTCGGAAGAGTATATGGACTTTGACCGGTTCATCGAAACCTTCGAACTCAAGCTCGATAAAGAATTTGATTGCGATGGTGTAGCAGCTTCATGGGCTCCCTCAACCAACGGCGGCCCTCAGCTTTGGGGCGACGAGCTTAATGCATTCAGGCTCGATGAAAATGACCCCATGTCAGAACTGGCCGAGAAGTCAACCGCGGAGCTGACAATAAGTCCAGATAGGGAGTTCATGGCAATTGCAACGAACACCGTCATTAGAATCTACACTGTCGAGTTGAAATTATTGACGGCCGAGTTTGATGGACACGAAGACACGATTCAATCCATTCAGTTCTGGAAAATGGACAACGGGAACGTTCAAGAAGCCCGTTATGTGATTCTTTCTCAAGACTCCGAGCCTGCGGGTGCTGATGGCGTGATATTTGTGTGGTACCTCGATGAATATGGAAAACGTGTCGGCAATACAAAAAATCCCGCTCAATTCGAAGGCAGATTTCTCTCGGGAAGCGCAACGGCTCTGAGCTGTGACGAGACTCTCTTCGTGCATTCGGATCGAAGCATCACAACACAGAACTGGTCAAGACCAAGCCACTTGCTCCCGCAACTAGTCATTCGCTCGCTTTCAGATCCCCTCACTGAAGTCTGCCGACTTAAAGGCCACCAAGATTCAATCATGTGGGCTTCGTGGTCACCTACCGATCCCAATATCATAGCATCGGCATCTTGGGACGAGAGCTGTCGAATCTGGAACGCTGCGACAGGCGAATGCATCCACAGCATTCAAGGTCGCAGTGGACAGAACTGGACCGGTGACTTTTCTCCCAACGGAGAGCAGATTTTGTTTGCTGGCAGAAGCAGAAGCGGTGCAACACACATTGCCATTTACACCGTCGCGACCGGTACCTGCATTCAGCAACTCGAGTTGCCAGGTCTTGACGGCTGGTCTACACCACTAAAGTGGTCTCCAAACGCCGACGTGATTGCCCTCGTAATTAATCGCTCCGTCATCCTATGGGATGTCGCCATGAACAAGACCACGGACGTCATGACGGTGCACAGCGACGGTGGTTTGCGCGATGATTTTTGCGACATCACTAGCGTGAAATGGCTCGATCAAAAAGGAAGCAAGCTTCTTGTCCGCATAACTGACCACACGGTCTTCATCTGGGACAGGCAGCGCAATTGGAAGTGGAGGCTGCAGAGGCCTCCGGGACTGCAGCAGTTGACGACGCTGTCGAGCGCAGAGGCTTTTATTGAAGAGAAGAAGTTGCTGCTTTCCCTTGACGGAGATTGGCAGGTGCGAACTTGGGAAATCGAGTAGGAGTACATGTAGCTAGCATTAGGCGCCGAACACGGCAACAGAAATCGCCTTATTCAGCAGCATCAGGATCGCTTGATTTATTAAAAATTGACAGAAAGTCCGTACATGTAGTCCCCTGAATATCTTCCCACACGAACACTTAGGAAAAGGCCATGTCGATGCTTTGCGCCCATTGCAGCCGAGCCCAGACTTGCTGAGACACCCCTGCCCGCTGACAGGAACAACATTTCTTTAAATCTGCAAATTCCTGGTAGTTGCCAAGAGTGATCCCTGAAATTTACTCTCATACACTATCTCTCATCACCTGCAGCAGCGAGCTCGCCAGCTTTCAAGAGAAAAAAAAGACTCCATCACGCTGGTGCCTGCCTCAGAGCGCTAGTACACCTCTTCTACTGCGGGAAGAATCACTTAACCAAGCAGTTGGAAGAAATTTCCGCAATATCATCAAGCCTAGACTGAATATGTATCTACACGCAATCTTGCTGGCGGCCAAACACGTAGCAGCGCATGCTGTGAACAAAACGTCCGGTAACATCTGCTACCATGTTACTACATGTATTCCACCCCATCCGCCGAGGTCTCTTAGCCTATGTGCAATCATTCGTCAAGAGGCCATGGTTGGGTATCAATGCACTTCAGCTTTTCTACACAACCAGTGACGAATAGACTGGGACGGATAGATGTGTTTCGTGCCTATGTTTGCTTGGAGGGTGGAGAGAAGAGAGCACTTGAGGACTGCCGCTCATACTCGGGCAGATTGAGGTTCTTGGACTTTTTTCAGCACGGAGGACCCTTCGCAGGCTTGACTCGTTGCGAGTAGGCTTTCCCCCAGTAGGCCAGATTCTTAATCACGCAAGGTATGTGGCATAGAATCCTGGGCTTCGCGACTCGGTGCACCACCAGACACTTGGCCAATGCAAGCGGAGATGGCTGGCTGTGCGCCATCCTACATCTTAATGATCCGCCCATTCCATGAACTATCTGTCCAAATATTCAGCCAGCCACATGGTGACACGGAAAAGTTGGTCAGTAGTTGGCCCATAGTTCTGATCACATGTCAGGTTGAACAACATGTCCGCGTGAATGACGACGAGTCACGACTACACATCCCATCGCAGGGGCATTTTCGGTTGCATTCCTGTGGCTTCTTTGCCAGTCCCTCAAGTTCTATAAAGAGGTGCTTGGTGTTCATGAGTTCTTCATCAATACCATAACAACCATACCCATCACTTATTCATTGCAACCTTGCACATTGACAAACGTTGACTTGCTGGCAGCCATGTTAGACATACGAAAACCCACACGCCGATATATTCGGTCACCCAAGTCCGTGGGTGGATGGCTTCCTCCGAATAAAGCAGACGTACTGCAATGGGTCAAGAAAATAGCCGACATGTCTAAAGCTAACCCCCCTCCCAGATCAGGCCCCGTCAAAGCCCTCGAAACCCTCATCAACAACAATGCCGAAGTGTACATGTTGTTTCATGAGATGATGGTAGAAGCTGTTGCGGGAATGACGGCCTGCGGCAAAAAATTCATTGACTTTCCCATCTCGGATGTTGCGCATCTTTTGGATACTCTCGACGTGATTCTCACAACCGGCCCAGCCTTCTTCTCGGCAGGCGATCCGCAGATTGGCACTCCCATCAACGCCTTGCTGGTCTGGCCAATGGCTACCAAGGCCGGTTTCGCCGTGTTTATCCGCAGCGACGTCAACCATGCCATCAAGGGAATCCTCGACTACTGGGGCGCATTCCTCAAATCCCCCAACTCATGCTCTGTCCTGACAAACGCCGCTGGTGGTTGGTTCTCGGCAGCTGCTCTGGACGACCCTCATATGCGAGACTTTGACAAGACGTATATTTGCGACCCGAAAAAGCCACATTGGGGCTTCACGTCTTGGGACAACTTTTTCACGCGTGAATTCAAACCGAATCTGCGTCCCGTGTGTGAACCTAAAGATGATTCTTGCATTGTTAATGCGGCTGAATCAACATTCTTCAACAAAGTCGAGGGTGTTCACCTGAGGGACAATTTCTGGCTCAAGGGGCAGCCCTACTCGCTGTACCACATGCTCGACGGTGATGCTCGTGCTTCTCAATTTGCCAACGGCAGCGTGTACCAAGCCTTTCTCAGCGCAGACAGCTACCATCGATGGCATGCACCCGTGTCTGGCCGGATCTTGGACTATAAGATTGTGCCCGGAGCTTACTACTCGGAGCCCATCTTGTTTGGCTTTGATCCTGATGACGGCACCCCAGCCCCAGATGCAGGAGCAGACGAGAATTCCCAGGGCTACATCTCAGCTGTGGCTGCGAGGGGGCTGCTTTGGATTCAGGCTGATAATCCTAAAATTGGGCTCATGTGCATGGTTTTTATTGGAATGGCAGAGGTTTCCACCATTGACGTGACCATGGCAGTCAACAAACACTTCCAAAAGGGTGAGCAATTGGGCATGTTTCACTTTGGCGGTTCAAGTCATTGCTTGGTGTTTGGTCCCCATGTGAAGCTGAACTGGAAGATATCGCATAATCAGGTCCACATCAATAGCGAACTGGCGAGGGTTAAGTAGATTGAAGAGGATGTGACCAAGATTGATTTAAGATGAATGCCTCGGCGTCTGATGGGTATTATTGACTGCGTAAATGCTTGATGAATGTTTCAAAGTCGAGGTCGAAATTTAAGCCTGTACAGTTGAAAGAAAAAGCTATGCAACACCAATCCAGGTGTAAGACTGATGATGAAATTTTTAAACAGGGTGAATGAACAAGGGTTCAAACATGCCTAGTTTTTTTTCTTCCTATAATTTATACTGGGTGAGTAGGGTAGCACTGCGGCATCCGCTTCTTTCAGGCCGTGCAATGGAATAAAATGGCGCATGAAAAAGGAACATTGCAATCAGCGGGAAATTGTCGACGAAATGCGGTACATATAGACGCAGCCCAAGCCACTCGGCGTCGGCGATTGTGCAAAAAATTACGCGCTGGTTTACGTTTGCGCCTCTGGTTGACCTTGAGACCCCAGCCAGCTGCCTCCATAGACACAAACCTACATGCATTGATGGCTTTTGTCAAGGGAAGAAAAAGAAATTGACTTGTAGTTACTCATTGATGCATTGATGAGCGGGCTGGCTGCGCATTGATAGAATTCAGCAAGCAAGGAGGCCGAGATGATTTGATCCAATCGCAGGTAGCGTGATTGATTTGCGCTCGGTACTCTTTGATGACAAATGTATCGGCCGAGTTGACCACACCTCGTCACTTCGCCCTCACATCAACGAGACCTCAAGTGCTGCCTTGGCAGCCACTCGACACCAGATGTTTGCCCATAATCACCACACTTGATGCGATGGAACCTGTGGCAATCCTCTTGGCATTCTTGCAGCTTCGCCTGGCGTGTGCAACCTACGACGATCCGTTTCCGCGATGCTCCAGCTGCCTTTCCGCGGTGCAACACGATGCACCCGGCATAGGATTCGGACTGACTCCAAACACTGGGTATATTATACATGCAGAATCGCAAGCATTATCCAATATGCGCTTAGCTGACATTACTGGAAGAACCGTCTCTGCGCATCTATTCAACAAAACCATATTGGACATTGCCGAAATCTCAGCCGAGCATGAATACCAGGCGCTGATGCTTCGTCTCACCACAGCGCCGCGACCAGAGCCCCTTTCGTCCTGGGAAAAGCTATCACGAACCATTAACAAGTCCCTCGGGCGGCCGGCCACTGCTGACGTTGGCATTCTAGCGCGACACTTGGGCCGTCTTCGAGATGCTGCGCAAAGACGGCTACCCGGAGAAGACGTCGATTCCGTCGCCATTTCGCTCAGTCCAGTACGCGGCCTACGACTAGAAGATGTGGAAGACGCCCTCACACATGTTGGCCTGAAATCCTGGATACGAAGTGACCATGTACAGGCTGGGCTCGACCCCACGCTTCTCACGGAGCCTCATGCGGTATATGCCACTCATGGTCAAGGACTGTGCCATGAGTATAAGAATCTCTTTGAGTGCTGGGAGGAAGAGGAACACTTTGCCCAAGAGACTCTGCTTGTCGCGGGGCTCACGCCCACTGAGCTACGCGTTGAAGTCGCCCAACTAAAGGCGCCGTTTGCTTGGAACCAAGCACTAGAGGACTACGTTGTTGAGCTCCGCGCCGGGTTGGACTCGTTGCCTGTTTTTGCATCGCCACAGGCATATTGGGAATATGTCCAAACAACCCTGGAGGCGTTCCTCTCTCAGATCCGGGGTCCTTTACCGACCAGCATCATGCTATTGAGTGCCGACGCGACTCGGCCAGAGTTTTCGCAAGCCCTGAGGCACGCCTTGTCACATTATCACTACATTGGAACAAATCTGACCGAGCCCAAGTACCACACGGCCTTGCAGGGCTTCCCTGTTCAATTTGGGCCGTCGAGGGGGGCGGCCCAGTATGCACGCTGGAGGCGGGAGGCGCCATTGGGCTGCAGGGAGGACAAGCGCTGTGACGACGAAAGGGATAAGGAGAGGAGTGGCGTCAGTAAGCTTGTACCAGGATTGAAAGGCGAGCTCAAATAACAAGGACATGACTTTACGCTACTTTGATCAACATCATTCGAGATGGGCAGATGTGTACTCCGTACTCGGTAGGGAATACATAACTGGGCCGTCTAGCTGCAGCAGCAGGCGATGGAAAAACCATGAACTGACACCAGACCACAGCTGCGTCCAGATGGTGTTTGGTGTTACTCGGGGTCGAGTTGTGTGATGGAGTAATAATTTAGGCAGACGCTGCGTGATTCGTCTTTGTTCTACACCGGCCGGCAGTGTTCGAACGTAGGCTGACAGATGTCCCCAAAACCCGGCCGGTTATGCACGGCGTGCAAGGAACCGGTGGAACTTGTTAATATTACGCACGCGGGTGTATATGAAGTTTTAATTGGTGCCGCGCAGCCCCCACGAACTGGACGACCAGGTCTTGATTGAAGTGCTTTGTCTCCTTGACGAGTAAAATGATCAATGTTCTGGCTGTCGTTGGGCCAGGCACGTTAGATTAAGTTTCGTGGTCAAGAAGATATCTATAGTCCTTTCTTGGCTGTTATTATGCTCAGAATAATAGTATTCGTTTATGCCTGCAATCGTTTCAAAATGACTTTCGTATACATAACTGAGAGCTTGCGATTTAACATGCCCATTCTTTTATTGGCAGCTTAGAGTCCGCAAGACTGCTTGTATTCTTGCAGGAACCCCTGCTATGCTGTCCCTGTAAGTGGCGAAATGTGGAGTACTGCCTAGCGCTAGAAAAACGTCGACGGTTCGGTGCGGGACGGACCGCGCCTAGGTGTCAATACTACCCGGACCGGACTGTACGTACTCTTGCGGACTCTCAGCGGATGACGGCTATCCCTATTACCAGTGTAATTGATTAAAAGTCCTTGTATTCCCTAATTAAACGCGTGCTTTTATTGCAACCCTACTGACTCCAATAATTTGTCATACCTCTAGAAGTTCCTCCACCAAAGAGGTATCCTTGTCCTTCATTTACAAAATGCATGGCTCGGGCGGGCGGCTTTTTTTGATTGCTCTTGTATAAGGATTGTCTGTCAGCTTCATCACGTTTAATAAATCGGGCTTTGAACTAACCATAGCCCCAAAACGCGACGACGGGAAGCTTTTCTCTATACCAATTTCAGGGCCAGTATGACATAGCTGTATTTGAATTGCTTACATTTTATGTCTAGACTGACTTTCAACCTGCAAGATGAGACTCCGTGCTCAGCATTCGTGGCTGCCATGGCTGGGTTCGTTCAGCATTGCCTTGTACGCTGAGGTACCTCGCCCTGGCGAAAAGCCATGCCCTGCTCCCTGTGCGCTTTCGGGTCTAGACACCTCAAACTGGACCGCATACCACAGCGTCAACAGACTCAAGTTCTGCAATGAGCCAATGCTCCTAGACTTTTCGGCCCACACGCCTCTCAAGGATAAAAGCAAAGGACATGGCATCAAAGCATGCGTTCTTGGCAATGGTGGTTCAGATACTCCTCTTACAACCAGTTCTTCCAATAAGCCATCTCGGACAGAAGCAGTCAATGCGACAAAAATTTCTGTAGAGCTGGCACAGTGGAACGCCCTCAATGCCGTCGATGCAAGCAAGTTCGACGTCTCTGCGGCTATGGGCGCAGCTTAGACGCGCATGAAAAAACTACGAATGTCCTCAGTCATCTTTGCCGGCCACAAGAACGCGCAGCTGTGGGAATTTGGATTGGCGCCCTGGTGCGGGATGACATATTCCGCGCTGAAGTGATCAGAAAGTTCTTGGAGAAGATGAATAGCGGCGAGAAACGTGAGAAACAGATTGCCCATCTCTGCGATGAGTCACACGGTGCCGATTTTGGGTTTGGAATAACTGTTGCCTACGGCGATTCGGCTCTTGAAACTGTTCAAGAGGACGTCAAAGCTTGGGCAGACTCAACTTGTATTAAAAATACACCACAGACATCCCAATTTGGGGACGTGGCTCTTACCACAATGCCTCCCGCTCGACGATCAAGACGGTCAGCTCCCAACAACAAACTTTGGAGCCGTGGCTTGTGTCGCTCGATCGGGGTGGGACAGGGTGAAGGTTGCTATGATCTTGCCGAGAAATGCGGCATCTCCCTGAACGACTTTCAGAAGTGCAACCCTGGGTCAAACTTTTGCTCCTCACTGCAGCCAAAACAGCCAGTTTGTTGCTCAGAAGGCACTCTACCGAAGCCCGAAAAGGGTTCCGATGGATCTTGTGCTGCTTACACTGTCCAAGGAGGAGATACGTGTGGCTCCATTGCAGCATTTAATGGCATCCAAACGTCAGATGTTGAGAATTTGAATAAAAAGACTTGGGGCTGGTTTACCTGCAACAACTTACAAGTAATGGCCAGAACGTGCCTGAGTGACAGCTACCCCCCTATGCCCGAACCAGTTCCCAACGCCGAATGCGGTCCAACGGTCCCCGGCACGAACAATCCGGCGCGAGAAGTTGACCTAGCCGGTTTGAATCCTTGCCCTTTGAAGGCATGTTGCAACTTTGGGGCCACTGCGGCACAACCAGCCAGTTCTGCAGCAAGGCGGGCGGTAATGTGCCTCCTACGCTGGCATGCACATCCAACTGCGGCACGGATATCGTCAAAAGTCCTCCGCCGGCAGAGTTTAAAAGGGTCGCTTACTTCGAAGGGTTCAGCACAAAGCGCAGTTGCATAAAAACGGATTCCAGCCAGGTCAACGAGGATGCGTACACACACATTCACTCTGCATTCATTGGTCTGACGCAGGATTGGAAAATTGAGACTTCAGATACGCAATACCAGTGGAAGCACTTCAAAGACCTGAAAATGAAGATGAAGAAGATCGCTTCGTTTGGTGGCTGGAGTTTCTCTGCCGAGGCACCAAATTGCGATGTTTTCCGATCGGGAATGAGGCCAGAAAACAGAAAAACGCTCGCTACCAACATTGCAGACTTTGTGACCCAAAATAACCTCGACGGCGTTGATATTGACTGGTACGTGTTCCAACGTACGCAGAATGCCATTCTCAAACTAACACCTCTAGAGGGAATATCCAAGCGCGACCGACATCCCAGGTATCCCTCCGGGCAGCAAAGAGGATGCACCAAACTACATAAAATTTCTCATACTCTTGAGATCAAAGCTACCAAAGGAGAAAAGTGTTTCCATAGCGGCTCCGGCCCCGTTCTGGTACTTGAAGCCTTTCCCCATTGAAGAATGAGTAGAGTACTGGACTACATCGTTTTCATGACGTACGATCTACATGGTCAATGGGACTATAAGAAGCCATGGGCAGCAGAGGGCTGTCCCGAGGGCAGCTGTCTTCGATCCCACGTTAACATAACTGAGACACTCAATTCGTTAGCCATGATTACAAAAGGTGGAGTTCCATCGAATAAAATTCTATCTAGTTGGTGTTTCCAGCTATGGGACATCTTTTCAGATGGCGTCTTCTGAATGCACTGGGCCTAACTGCAAATTCACAGGCCCTGAATCAGGAGCGAAGAAGGGTCCCTGTACTGACACTGCGGGCTATATCTCCAATGCCGAAATCCAACAGATTGTGCAGAACGGAGCGCCTGGGCTTAAACAGTACACTGACAACAGCGATTCCGATGTTCTTGTTTTCGGTGACAATTGGGTAGCCTACATGACGGATGACCGAAAGGCCAAGCGCACCGCGAGGTACAAAGATCTCAATTTTGGTGATGTCAGCGACTGGGCTGTGGACCTTGGTGCCTTTTACCCGCCGATAGGAGGCGACCCAAATAACAATGGAAGCGTGCTGCCATACTCTTCCATGAGGCCGATTTTGCAAGGCTGCGATAAATATGAGGGACAATATGTTACTCAAGCCTGGAACGAGGCTGGAAAGATTGCTTGGACTCACTGGCAATGGGGTCCTAAAGGCAAATGGCAGAATGCCACATATGGACTTGTACATGGGTGAAGGCACACGTAAGGATTGGGACTTTTGGGGCGATCCAGGCCCAATCGGACGTGAGTAGATTTCGGTATCTCCTTGATAGTAGCATTGAAAAAGGACACTGACCACCAAGCATCTGCACAGAAAACATTGGCAACGAGTATCTCATCCATTTCTCAGGCTTCCTGCAGCACCCCATCAATACTTATTCGTACTGGTATTGTCACGAGAAAGATCGACCTGGCTACGACGAAACACAGCCCGAGTGTGGACCAAATACCTTGGCATACACCTGGGATCAGCCTGGTGCCTTCTTCTCATTTCATTATGTTGTAAGTTTTTGCTTCCCAGTTTCATCTTCTTGTCGTGGTAGGACGACGGCCTCATAGGGGGCGCTAATTACATGCTGCTTATTAGGTCCTCTGTCTAACGTGGTGGGACTTCAGCAGAACCAAGAGTCTGCGCGACGTAGAAAATAGAGCGAACAGAGATATCCCATTTCAGATGAAGATGGAGAATTGGAAGCCAATCCGCACCCGCACCGCACTCCACGAGACTTATCACTGGAAGGATACCGACTCTAACCCCCGCTGTAGGGATTTGGCCCACTCGCCAACTGACGTAGTCAAGCTTGCAGAGACACAAGGATCGGACAGAGCACGACTAAATGCCGAGAGTTTTACTTAAGCCGGTATCGCAATTTATGTCATGGATACGTTCCATCTCTCATCGCCACCAACGCCAGGAGGGGGTAGTGTGAGCGCTGCGGACAATAACGAAATGGAAGCAAAGGCATTGGACGCACCTCCAGCTGGCTGGATCAGTCCCATAAGCTTCGACCCTGCTGTTGTTAAGCCGGATCCGAAAATAGGTGCCTACTTTATGACTGAGTACGGAACTGCTGAGCTATACGAACGGTAAGTGCTTTATGCGCTCGCGAACTTGTACTATTTCTTTTCGTTACCGGTATTATACCTCCACCGACGGACTTGTCCTAATTTCTCTCATTCTAGTAACCTCGCCTTCGCCCAGTACAATGACTAGTAGATTGGCTTAGGGTGACGAGACATGCACAAGCTGCGATAGTCTCGCATAACCCAAAATGCGACCTAATCTTCATTCGAAGGAGA